GATTTTGCAAATTCTTATGAAAAAAAGTCGGCTTTTATATAATTTATTTTTGTTTTGTTAAGACATATCTCTTAAAAAATGCATAGAAGGAAAATAATTCAACAATCAAAGAATATTTTCTAATTAAGGATTAAGCTTTTACTTAAATATATCAGGATGCAATTAGAATTGTGTATTACAGTATACACTCAATATGTTGAAAACCTTGTTATGTCAAAAAAATATTTTTCTCCTTGACATTATACATCCACCAAATGCTAATTTGAATTCCTATGTTGTAGAGTTTCTTCTCAGAACATTATGTTGATTTTTTTTACATAAAAAATCATTTCTATTTAATGCATAATTATTTTTGTCTCACTTTTAAAAATAAAATTATTGTTGTGTTTAAAATTACATGTGAATGTACATTTCTGAAGCATTGATGTTAATTCAATAGGAGGGAATATATACATTTTCTGTAATTTTTTAATCACTTTGTATTTTAGAGTAAATAAAAAGCATTAAACACCTATCAAAATTGAAAATAATTTATGATTTTTTACTGTTTCTTAAATACTGTTGAGAAATACATAAAGCTAAAGGTTAAAGTAGCTAATGACAACTAGAAAACCTTTTGTAGACTAACTTTAAATGTGTCAATGCTTGAATTTAAATGATCTTCAGAATTCTGAATACATGTACAAAAAGTATACGTTCGACTGATTTTCGACTCCTTTGCCCTGATTATGAAGATTATTTATCTGAATACATGTACAAAAAGTATACGTTTGACTGAATGGACCTCCTTTGCCCTGATTATGAAGATTATTTTGCTTTTGTTTGCTTTTTTTTTCTATTTAGAATTCTTTTTTTTTTTTGATGTATGAAACTATTAAAATGGCTGTTAAAGATTTTAGATTAAATGCCAGTTCAAAAGGCATAGTTTATATTCATTTCTAAAGAAAAATGTTGCCCGATGATAAATTCTTCAGAATAATAGTTCATTAGAAATTAATTACTTGAAATTTAATTAAAATAAGTATTTGTTTCAGATGGACAGTGTTTTTAAGTCAAAGACAGACCAAGAATATAAATTTTAACAGATGTGAAATTAATTTTGATCAATCATTTTCTGTTATATTTAGTTAATAAAAGAAGTTGATACTTACTTTTTAATAGAATTTCATGCGGCCCATTCATAACTATCAATGGCACATTCAACCTCACGCGTTGGAATTGAATGGGCTAAATTTCTATTTTTTGTTTATCTATTATTCACAGTAAGCAGTTTCTAATCCAATTTTTATAAATTTTTCAGATAACCAAATATATAAAATAAACATAAAATTTTGAGCTAAAGAAATCAAATCGAAAATATTACAAAACTAACTGAAAATTGACTCATTTATGAACACTCTTTCCTATAAGGGATTTCCTGGTTTATGAAAAATAATACCTTGTTTTGTAAAAAGTAAATTATTTAATTTGTTACATGTTTCCATCTTGAAAACCAGTACAAATATATACTAATTAGTCCTCACACTACAAGCTCCAGAAAAAGGTGTAATGCAAATGTTTTAAGATTTATAAATTCATTTTTTCAGAAATTTGGAAATTCTCTCTACATCATTTTTCTCAAAATGTATAAATAAATATTTCACATAAACTAATTTATGTGAACACTCATTTGACTTAATAAGCATTGAACAAAATTAAAGACACAGTTTAAAAAAAACCAAATAGTGTTTTGCTATTTATAAGTATTTATTTCATGAAAGATAAGAGATACATTAGGTAACATACTAAGTAAGCTAAACAAAATAAACGAATCACAAATTTTCAGCTCATTTTAAAATGAGAAAATTAATTTCAGAAATTATTTAAATACTTCTTTTATATGTGTACTACAGGTCAATACTCTCAATTAGACTTTGTGTTCTATCAATCATTGACCTTGAATATTTCTTATGGTGTAAAAAAATTCTTACATGTCAAGTTTTGTTTTAGTTTTTCTCATTTTAACATGATTTTTAACATTATATATTTACAATAAATTTTAAAGCATAAAATGAAAGTAAATTAATTTTTATATCTTTAATTGAGCTATCAATGCTTTCAAGAATAATTTTCTGGTGAAAAGCCAATCCCAACATAAATTGTGATACAGTTGAATAATGGTGGAAATTTAATGATACGTCATGTCATGGCATACGCATTTTGAAAGTTGTGAAAGTTTTGAGTATTTTATATTCGTCAATAAACATATAATACAGGGTTAAAGAATACATAGAATCACTCAAATAAAATAGGGTGAAGTATGCAAAATTCCTTATAAATTAATTTCATTTATGTAAAAGTATGGTGACTGAAGGTAAGAAATGCTAAAATAAAAAAAGAGGAATCAGGAATTATAAATAGGTTACAAAGAAAACAAATTTAAAATACATGAAACTTAAAATATGATCTTAGAAAATAAATATTTTATTGCTAGTTAAGTAGGTTTGAAAAATAAAAGTAATATTTACAAAAAATAAATAATTCACATTCTCTGACATAAAATTGAATTAATTTTCTTATGGAAAATCAAACTAGAATAAACTTGATTGTGAAAGATTAGCCAAGGGTCCCAATCCTTGCTTCCGAAACACGCGTGGCAGTGCCTTTCCCTGGGGAAATGTATGGAATTAGGTTGCCGGACGCTCTTTCACTGTGTTCCATATAATTTTTGCTAAAAATAAATGAAGTCTTGTTATATAAAAAACATACTCTCTTAAAAAAAAAGGAACGAAATCACTCAATTTAAGGAAAAATTTAGAATTAAAACCTTTCACTCCATTAAAAGAAGGCGTAAAATCAAACAAATATTAAAATATTCGAGAACTTGTTTACTTGAAGAATTAAAGTTTACTAATAAAATCTTCTTAAAAAAACAACTAAGCCACACAAAAAATTATTAAAAATGTCTGAAATAAATTAATAAAAAGTTAATTTTTTAAAATTTCTCAATATCACTCATGATAACAAATTCTCTCACTATAGAATATTTTACAAAAAAATTTTTAAGAAAAAAAGGATTCAAGCATCTTACATAAGAAAAAAAATATGTTTTGTTTAAAATATAAATAAATAAAAACAATATTCTCTGGGGAGAAAATTTTTCTTTAAAAAATTAAAATCAAGAGCCTCAAACGTAGGACAAGATATACTTTAATTGCTTAAACCTTACTTGCTTATTTAGTAAATGGTAAACTTTAGTTACTTATATGCATGCCATGAAAAAATACATTATTAAAGAAAAATAAAAGTTTAAATCTGTAAAATAATAATAACCTAGTTCCAGAACTAAGATTTATTTAAAATCAATTTAACAGAATGCACGGATAAAAAACAGAGATTGAAGTTTGAAGAAAATATTTAATAATTAATTGAGATAGATAAAAAATTAAATATATTGTGTGACAAGAAAAAGATGCTATTGAAATAAAACAATGAAAAAATAGTTAAACAAAACCAATAAGCTAAATATAAATTTTATCTTTTGTTCTAATACTTTTATTCAATTTCAAAATTTAAATGAGTATAAATACAGAATGATAAAGCATTACTTAATATGGTAAGACAATTTATACTACTAATTGGCAAATGAAAATGAAATGTATCTGATTGAATTATAAATGACTAAGTAAATTATCACCTTATATGGAAAAAAAGACATTTTGCTGTTAATATTTTTACAATTCATAAGCTTGTTATGGTCAATAATGAAATAATTGAAGTGGTGGATAATAAAATAAATACAGATATAGTAAACGTGACTTTACACGAAATTTTTCCAAGTCAATAAATAAAATAAAATCAGCATATAAACAGATGTAGAAAAATGATTAGTTTAAAATTAATGATAATTGACAGCATAAATTAGCCACCACCTTTTTCTCCTCATGGCAGAGAAGGAATTTTGTAAGAGTCTCCCACAAATTTAATGGACGAGTAATTTCTATCGCTGCTAAGTTCTTAATGTTTTCTTTAAAAATTAGAAGAGGGTTCTACTCTAGCTCGCTAGTCTTTGAAAATTCTAAAGTAGTTCTTTTCCAGCTATCTTCTCACTCTTTTCTCTAAGTTCTATTTAATACTCCAATTTTTATGCCCATATATATATATATATATTTCATAGTTTATTTTAACTACATTAAAGGCTATGCCCCCTCCTTTTATTCATTGCTCACCAATCCTTATAGTTTTACAATTTAATTTCTGGAAAAAAAATTTTGAAATTTAAACAAAGACACGTTTAAATAAAACATGAGAAAATAAATTTTCATAAATATGACGACTGGCCAACAGTGAAACTGTATGAAAGGTCACAGCAACCTCCCATCCTGCAGTAGCAAAACATAAGAATTTTTCTAAAGCATTTTCAAATTTTCTTTGACCATAGTTGAACCAAAAATGGGATAATACACCTTCCAATTAAACTTATCATTTTCTTCCAGGATCTCGTTTCGCAGTCATATCTTGGAGAATGTGACATTACAGTTTAAAAGAAATTAACAACAGCTGAAATTAAAATTTAGTAAGTAAGCGTTTTTAGTATAAATTTTCATACATTTGTTATAAATTATAAATAAAAATAACAATTATCAAATTAGTGATCTTTCTGAATGTTGTAAAGCACTAATACTTTTACACTTGTGTATGTTTTATGGCTCAAAAGTTTGCCACTCTTAAAGTTTTGTAATGTGTCTGATACATCTTTTCCTCAATTATTAGCAATGCATTTAATTCTGAAAGTGGCTTAAAAGATTGGTAACTTTATAATGTGTGCATTTTAGAACATGAAAATATGTTTGCGCACAAACACGCTACAATGATTTACTTCTCAAGAAAATGATTGCTTAATACATATAGTTTTAACTAATCAGATGAGTAACCAAATCAATGATTGAGAAGTATTTAGAAGAATTTTTGAAGTAATAAAGATTTTAGCATCGCAATGTCTTGCATTCCGTGGAGACAATCAGACAATTGGATAATGGAAATTATTTGGGAACATTAGAACTATTGAGTAAACTTGGCCCTTTTCATGCTGGACTTATAAACAATTATGAGAATAAGGGCAATGGACATACATCTTATTTATCAACTTCGAATTGTTATTTACCAAGACTGAATCGATTGATATAAAGCATAAAACAACATAATTGCAGAACTAAGGAAAGCAAAATATTTTTCTGTAAGTATTGATTCAACACCAGACATTTCCCATGTAGATTAGGTGACATTTGATGTCCGATATGTGAACGACGGAATTCGCATAGACCTTTTGGATTTTTTTTTTCAATTGAAAGGCATAAACCTGAGTACTTGTCTGATACTATTGTATCTTTTCCTAATGATCAAGGCATAAATATAAGTGATTGTCGAGGAAAAACATGAAATTATGCACCAAACATGGCAGGCAAGTACTCAGGTTTACAAGCAAGATTAAAAGAGAAACGTTCTGTCACATTTTTTTTACCATGTCAAGCGCATAGCTTAAACTTTCGTGAACAGGCTGTGAAATGCGTCTTAGAGGATTATTTCCAAATTTTACTGAAGTTGAATTTTTTTTTCTCGAGTCCTACCCATTGGTTGAATATCTTAACAAAATACTTAGAATTTGGACTAGTCGTAAAGTGTCCATCAGATACTAGGTGCAGGTTATCCACGCACCTGGAAAGTCATGAATTTCGGTATTGAATAAAATTTGTCATGATTGTAACTATTTTTTAAAAAAAAAAATCATGGAAAGTCATGGACCTAGGTCGCCGAAAAATCTAATTTTTAAAATGGAATCTCCCCCCCCCCCCCAATTTTATGTTGTTCCAAATATCTGAATTTCCATAGAAATTCCCACTGACAGTCATATTTTATTAAAATATAAAATGTTTTTATCATGTTCTTTAAAAATTATGGTAAAAGAAAAAACATCATTTCTAGAGTGATTTTTTAAACTAAATTTAGAATTCTAGTTGAAACAAGCCAGTCATTGGTGAACTTTTTTTAAAATCAGAAATGAGAACAGAAAAATCAGGAGTATTTCTTTCCTTTCCGATGTGCAAGAAAAGTTTCTTTAGAATATAATTCTGCAGAAAAAAAAGGGAAAAGAATTTATTTGCTTTTGTATTTTTTTCAGCTATTTCATTGCTTCAACTCTTTCTTTACTCTGTTTTTCAAATTTAAAATCTATAAATATGAAGATGCAGAGTATAACAGTTTTGGTTATACCTATTATTTGAATTAATGCTATTGTGATGCTTTTTTAAATTTATTGTGTTTTTGTCAGAGAAAATAGTAACTTCATTAAGTCGTGAAAAATTCTTGGAATTAGTCATGAAAAGTCATGAATTTGAAAATCTGAAATGTAGTAGATACCCTGCAATTAAGTTAATTTTAAAATACATTGAAAGCTCAATAAATTTATTCTACATAATGTAATACAATCATGGTACCTATCAATCTGAAGCTTCAAGTGACCATCATGGATTGAACCTTAGTTTTTTATAATGACAACTCAACCTCTAAACAAGCCATTGCAGCTTAGTGGTTAAGGTTATATACAATGTCTATCTTAATTTGAACATACATTATTATTATATTACATTACATTTATATCTTTCATTTCAAAAAATCTAACTTGTTGTTCACTTAATTAGTTTTATAAATCAATAAGCCATTTAAAATATAGTATTTTTTTAAAGACATCTCTTGTTCAATTTTAAAAATTTATCTAAAGTAAGTCTAAGAATTTAGAAGTATTAATAATTTATCTAAAGTATCTAATTCCAAGAAAAGGTTGTATCAGTTTGATCATTGATGGAACTATCACACTTATTATAGAAATGAAGCAACTACGTTTCTGTCTACTTCAAAAGATAAATTAGATAAATAATACTGTGTTTTAATATGAAACTTTTAAGAGCAATGTTAGAAATCACTTGAAAAGAAACTTCAACTTTTTTAGTTGCCTAATTTAAAAAAAAAGTTCTTGATAGTTGTTTTCTTATTATATTAAAATGTTTATTATGTTACTAAAGTATATTTTATTATTGTATTTTTTAATAGGTCCTCCTTCTTTGTTAAAATTTGAATACGAGCTTCCCTTAAGACATGCTGTGATTCTTATTTTAAAAGAAATTGCAAATTAAATCAAACTGCTGCTAAGAGATACATTTCCTCGTATTTACATTCAAAATACAGATGGTTTAAATTCTGTTGAATTTCTATATTTTTGTCTTGAAGAGGTGAGATTATATAAAGAAAAATAATATGTTCTAATACTTTTTTTCAGTCAATAAATATTATCATTATGTTTAAAATTATGTATACTAAACTACTTAATAATTTACAATAATATTTCAGTTACCTATTTCTAATAATTTTTTTTCATTATATAATTTTTTCCATGTTTAACGCAAATGTTTGAAGTGAGCTTTATTTTGATACCATGAATTTTTTTATCATTTTCATTTGTAACATTTGTTAATATCTAATATCTATAGTTGATATATTTAAAGTTTATTAATAATTAAAAAAAGTTTTAATTTTTTTGAAAAGAAAAAGTTTGACTCATTAAAATTAGGATATTTAGTGTTTTTATCTGCTAAACATTTAAATTTTTATATGCACGATAATTATCTTAAATTCTCAGACTTAAACATTTTATAATTAAATGTGTGAAGTTACTAATATTTTTCTTATAAAAGAAGCACTTAAATTTATAAATCTGGAATAACTGTTAATTACTCTATTATGATTATGAGTTGCGCTCGAAACAGTTGAAATGATGTATGGCAGTCACTAAGGAAACAGATTATTCCACTAAGTTGTAAATTTAATTGCAACTGTTAATCAATACCAGACCCTGTAATATTCATTTTTCTGATTGTTTTTGTTTTGTTTTTCATCCCATTTTATTAGGAAGCATTGGTGATTAATGGTAACGAATATATATAGAAACATTAAATGGGCACAAAATAATATGGAATATAGATTTAATACATTTTCTTCCTTTTTTTTATTCCGTAAATTGTTTGAGAATTCTGTGTCTGTTTTGTTTTATTCTATGTTTATTCTGTTCTTTTTTTATTCTGTTCTCAATATTCTGTAAATCTGTTTTTTTTTCTGTATTCTGTTTGTTTTTCCTCCTAATTTTTAATTATGTGCTTTTTATTCTGAAAATTTTATTTCAACATTTTCTTCAAGCTCATATTTTTGCTAAATCATTCATTTTTTCTTATGAAAAAAAGTTTTATGCATTTTTAGGGTTTCTTTATTGCACTTAATAGAAAACTTATCCTTTTTCATATTTAAACTTACATTTAGAACATTGCTGCTTATATTTAAATATCTTTAAACTTGCTTTAATTCAAAATTATTGAGCTTGATTCACAGAATGTTTCAACCAAAAAAGTTCTAAAAAACAAATCTAGATATAAATTAAAATAAAACAAGGATATCATGCAAAATTTGAAATTTTATGTGAGCTTCAATTTTATTTATTGAAAATGTACGTTAGAAAAGGAAGGGGAGAGTGGAAAGTAGAAATGATATACTATCGGTGAGAAAAATAATGTGTGTGTTGCATTAACAAAGATTTAAATTTTCAACTAACTTTTATAATCTGGAACAAAAAGAAAATAGTCTACTGATGGAAAATTAGTAATTTTCAGAAATTCCATTTTTTAATGAAATTTACTAAAAGTTCTTTGCTGGCTGGATTCTAGATGTCACCATTTAAATAATAATAATTGTGTCTTACTGCTAGAACGTAAAAAAAAAATCTTGTACTAAGCTATTATGAAACACAAAATGATAAAAATAATTGTGCGCATATGTATACAGTGTATGTCAACTTTTATTTTCATCACAGACTATCACTTCATATGTGTGTGAGGAAATTGAATCTGGAGTAAAAAGATGTTTTATTGTTATTGGAAGAAATGAAAAGCAGTGGAAAGCTTACATGGGGCACACTGATTTTTCTAAATTAGAAGAAACTGGAAATGATAGTAAGACTTTCTAATGAAAATTAAATTATTATCCATTTTATCTTACATTTAAACATTTTTAACCTTAGTCTCACGAATGTTCTAATATGTCTAAGAAAAGCTTTTTTCTTTCAGTTCTTTTGTTTTCCTTTCCCTTAAATCAATATTAAATAAAATGTAATTAATTTTTTTCTACTCTTTGCTTTCATAACCCGAATTATTCTATGTTCATTTTTTGCTTATAATGTGCTTTTTTATTAGCATCCAGTTTCCATGTCCTTGCAAAAATTGAAATTTTTTGTCATACCATGGCTTTCCTTATTTTAACCTTGTTATTCTTCTATTCTTTGCGTTTCTGCTCTTTAACGAAATTTAAAGAATTTGTCATGGACAATTTTACAGTATTGATATTATAAGCAAAACTATATTGTTTTAAAAGCTTCTCACATCTTGTTAATAAATTTAAAATCTGAATTAATGTCATTCAATCATTAAAAATTTGTAATAATCTATTGGATTTTATTCAAACAACTCAAAAAGAGCATAAAACAATAGATTTTTGATTAAGAAATCATATATTCATCAAAAAATTCTAGCAACATAGTTCTTTTATGAAGAGATAAATTATTTAACATTATAAACATTCTATTACTTAACATAAAAGGATCATATGTTACTTACATTTTTGCATAAAGTGATTTATAAAATAAATTTGTTACAGATATTTTTTATTTATTTTAAATGTTTTCAGGTGTTAAAATACATCAGAAGTATGAAATTCAAGGAGTAGCATTGATCTCAACATATAATATGTTCCTAGCTCTCCTACTTTTGCCAATAAGTCTGCCTCATCAGGATTATCAGTCTGTTCCCTGCCAACATCTCCTGTGGCTACTGCAGCTGACAATACTGTTCGTCCAGTTACCGTTTTTGTACCTCGTCAAAGGTTTTTTCTGATGATGGTTAAAGATAAAAATGTAAGTTGTGTTTATATCATACAAACTTACTCTTAATGGCTTATCAAAATTTAAATGATCTCAAACTGAACTTAATGCATTCAGAGCTATGGATATTGAATTAACCCTTTTACAATATTGAATTTAGAAAGTTCTATTTTCTTCTTCATTGTTACATTACTGTGATGTTCTTTCCTTTGTTTTAGGTTAGAAAACAGTGTAGCAATGAAAATTATTTTTTTATTTAATTTTTTTTAAATTTATTTTTTATATAATTTATTTGTAATACCTCATTTTACTTATTTTGAAGAAAATAAAATTTTATGAAAAATTATATGTATATTATAATTAATATGAATTATTATTATTAATATGAACATTGTAAAAAATGTTTATTACTAGTTAGAAAATTTCTGGTACGTCAGATATATATGATATATCAGCCCATGGAAGGCCAAGACTTACTGTTCCCTTTCCAGTTTTCTTCGGCTTTTGGTGCAGGACCAGATGTTCTGGTTGGGTGGTCAGCCAAGTATTGAACCACCAGTGTTTCATCCCTAAGTATATTCTTTGTGTTTCTGCTCTTTAACGAAGATTTAAAGAATTTGTCATGGACAATTTTACAGTATTGACATTATGAGCAAAACTATATTGTTTTAAAAGGCTATATGGTTTACCAGGCCTCGTGATACATTTGTAAAATTTTTAAAAGCGAAAGTTTTGAATTCTTAGGATGATGTGCAAATGATTTTTTGTGGAACTTAGCAGATGAAGATGCAGTAGAATGTATTGAAGCAACATTGCTAGCGTTATTGATTCCAACAAAGATTATGTTTTGGAATCTTTAAATCGTACTTTTATAGCATATTTTAAAAATTTTCACTGCATTATATGTTTGAAATACTCTTAAATGAATTGTCTTAATTTATTTCTGAACGTAAATAAAAATATTGTTTCTAAAATTACTTTTGTATGCAAAGAAAGTAGAATGAGAGGAAATGCAAAATTAATTGTATATAACATATTAAGAATACTTTTTGTAAGGGGTAATTTGATACAGAGTTATTCATATATCTTATTGTTTGTAATGCATCTATATTTCACAATCTATGATTGCTTGACTTTAGTAACAGTGTTTAAGTTGACCCCTTCATGTTCCTAAAATTTTTGAGGCTTGAAAAATTGACTTATACATTAAGATATACCATAACTCTTTTAGCCGTGTGTCTTATTAGCTCGTTATAAATAACAAACATTATTTCAAGTGTATTTTAAAAAATTCTGCTTAGATAGCTGAGTAAAAATCATAATTGCAAATGATTATTAGCCAGTAATTACAAACTTGAATTGGGTGGAAGCAGTACTTTTCTGAATTTCCTTCTAAAAGGATATGTCAATTGCTCTTAATTATTTTAACATAAGACCTGTCTATGCTTCACTTATCAAATGATGACAAAACTTCTGAACAGCCTATTTTTTGTAATTGTTGTAGGTTTATTGGAATATGAGTATTAGTTACAATAGGGATATACAAGCTCTAATTTGTTTTGTTGTGTCCTTTACTTCCAGACTTTTCAATTAGTTAAGCTTTTTGGCAACAACCTTATTGTTAATATTGTTGTTATTTATCAATTTTATTGAAATAAAATATGATAATTATGACTACAATTAATATGTAATTAATATTTTGCTTTTTTTAATCTTAATAGTTCATGTTGCTGTATTTTTCCAATCCTTGATTGTTTTCCTAATTTTACTTCAAACTTGATTAATGGAATAAATAAAATACAGGAATAGGAATAAATGAAATACATAATTTTAAATGGTAACATTTTTTTATTAGGTTTCCTCTGTAATCAACTGTTCAAAATGCATCCACTCCCTACAAATATAATATGTAATTACTTCAATTTTCAGAAAAACGTGTTTTTCTTTCTTTCTAGTATTTAATTTATTTTTAAAATTTATAAAGAATTTGCATAAATATGTTCTTAAACCTGTACTAAAAATTCTGTGCCAATCTGTAAATTATTTTTACTAATTTCTGGTCTGGAGAGGAATTCTGGAGAAGTTTTTGCTCATAATTTTATAATAATTTTGCTCAATTACAATATTTCATTATATTATTATGAATAATTCACATTAGTTATTATTANCACCTGAAGAAATGCTACCATGTTTTTTATACAGTTCATTAGGGTGCTCCACAAAAACTGCAAATGAAGTGCGCAGAACAAAGTGCTTTAACTTTGCATTTATTAATAAATCTTGTGACAAAATGGAATAATTTAGATATAGTTAGAATAATATGCATTTTTCACAATATTATTCCCCAATACTTCGTAATGTTCTCCTTTTACGGATTTAGAAAAAAATAATTGAAATACCCTTTCAATATTCTTCAAAAATTCTGTTGATTCACAGTATATGTAATAAATTCCAGGTTCAAGGAGAACAAGGAGATCAGAAGTAGAAACAGCCATGAGAGAAGAAAAATGTACAATTAAAGAAAGGTATAGAATATTTACGGTGTTTTCTAATGACCAAAATTAAATGTACAGTTATTATTAGATGATTTAACAAAATATTACACTCTGACTTGCTTTCAAAAAATTTTATATTGCAAAATTGTGAAATTAATTTTAGTTTTTATCACTGTTTGTTCTTCTTACTGCATTAAGAAACCATCTTGATTTCTAAATATCATATATCCAAATAATTCAAAAGTATAAATATTATTGTGTCATATTGTTGCAATGATGCTTTATAGGAAAAAGTAAGAAAATGTTGTATTTTCACGATTGTTTAACAACAATAATCAATTAAAAATCATGAATAATTCTACCGACTTTTTAGTGTAAAATTAAATGTCTATTTATTACTTCTAATAGATTAAATATCTGAGAATAAAAAAAAAAGAATGAAAATAACTATGTGAAATCTAATTATCAAAATATATATTTGAATTCTTCATCATCTTTAAGTTGAGCAATTTGTTTTGATACTGATAAAAGTGTGTTCAAGACTGAGACAAACTACTTGATTTTGTAAAAGGTTACTTTACTTGTCTCAAGATCTCAAACACACTTCATCCGATTTCTATTCTGTGCTAATGAAATTATCTATAAGGGAATTTCTGAATTGTGTCATCAGTTTCGAACTTTTGAGAGATAAACCTCAAAAATTATTTTTTGTTGTTGTTAAAATGGGTGTGTTTACAGAAGCAAGATTAGCAGTTCATTTTCAAAACGTTTTATATACAAACTTTTGTTGCAAAGGGAAAAAAATAAAACATTTAATATACTAGTTAACTTGATAGTCTTCTCAAATCATAAAAATATCATCTCTTTAGGTCATATAAGGTGCATAATGTTTCAAACTGTACATTTAATTAATGTATTTAAACGAGTTGTAAAGCTAGTAAAATTTAATAAGAATACCTGTAGACTGATGTTTATGATGAAATTGAGAGAATCATCATTCAATCGTCATTCTTTAAAAAGGGAGCTTCGACTGACAGTTCAAAATAAAAGGGAAAGTTTATTTGATTTTCATACCTTGCTGTTGGGATTATAAAAATATTATAAATAAATCGTGTTATTTACAAATATTATTTTAGAAAAGTAGTACCCACTTCTTCCTTTTATGGTATCTGGTTAACTATGAAGTCTTCTCAATATATTTGAATGAAAAAACTTTTTTAATTTTTCAATAGCACTGAATTTCCAAGATTCATATTTCTTGTGTTAAAAGGCTTTCAAATGAAGATTAGTTTTCTTGAATCTTTCATGAACCTGCAAATCATATTTAGCTATACTGAGCCATTTTTTTAAAAAAATTCTTTTGTACATAGTCAAAAATAGGATCTGTTATAAATGTAACCTATTTACATGTTGCTACCAAGTCTATGTCTCACATTGACTAAACCACCAATTCAAAAAAGGCTGTTGAGTAGTTGGATTCAACCTAAAGATCAAAAAATTTGTAAACACCTACATGGTTTCAAATCAGTGGTGTGCACACAGAGGTTCAACCAACGATTTAGTATTACACTAAAACTTTGTAAATAGCTAGTAGTAGATCACTAGCATATATTTATATTAGGAAATTGAATTTGAATACTTGGCTTACATTAAAAATTTTTTGAAGAATAAAATCTATATATTAATAGGCTTGCAATATTTTGTCTCGCTAAAAACTCCCAAACTACGCAACAGAATTAAACAAATAAGGTGTCGTTTTAAAGGTATTGCTATGTAGATGTGCAATAAGGTCTTAAATTATGAAAATTTCCTTTAATTAATTAATAAAATTAATAATTTAGTTTCAACCAATGAGAATTCAGCAAATCATTTTTCGGGTGGTTCGCATAAGCATTGTTTCCGTAAGCATCGTTTGATTTAAAGCATTTCTGAATTAATAGATTGATAAACAAAAATAAGAGTGGATAAAAAAAAAACGGAACTGAATTTCTTAAAAAAAGAATTCAATATCTTTAGTTCCTTTGATAAATTTTTAGTTTCATGATAAATTTTTTGTTTCGTTACAATAGAATGGCAATGGCATCGTGCGAATATTCAAACCAAAACAAACGTGCGAATATTCAAACCAAAACAAACTTTCTACAAACAATTATTTTGATTTGAGATTTAAAACGATATCTTAGTTATTTAGTTCTATTTTAATTTATTTAGTGCCTGCTGCCTAAATAAAATGCCTGCTATCAGGCGTCGAAATATCTCTGGCAGACGTCAGAGAAATGAATGGCGGAATTCTAAACGGGAAAGCATTTCTTATTGAGATATATTCTCTGCTACCGCTCCAAATTTCTCAGCTACATGAAGAAAAGATAATCAAATTGTGAAGGGGGCAGAGAAGAGTATAAATTTCATTAAGTAATTGATTTCAATATCTGGCATTTTTATTTTAAAATTTAAATTTGTTAAAATGTTTTTCTAAGATTGCGAAGCAATATGCAATGGAACTGCGAAGCAGTTCTGGGGGCTGGCGAGCGTAGCGAGCAGAGGGCGGAGCCCCCTAGTATAATTTTTAAGAAACCATAATAATGAATTTCAAGATGATTAAAATTTCAATATTTTACATTTAAGAATTATTTTATATGAAATAATACATTTGTTACGAAACAATAACTTCAATTTACATTTATATAAAATTGAATTTAATATATCTATTTGAATTTTTTTGTTTTAGGGGGACCAGGAAGTAATGTTATTTCGGTGCATTAGATATTCGTTAGTCTCAAAATCCAATTCAGTTTTTTAGATTTATTTTTGATTTGGCATTAAAAAGCTGTTGCTAACGAGAATGAATACATTACTGATTAAAAATAAAATCTTGAAACCCAATATCAAATAAATGCACCGAAAGGACATTACTTTCCGGTCCCCTTAATATATGTATGTTCCAATATGATACTTCCTTTTAAACTTTTTGTCCTCTCCAGAAAATACATTATTTCTTACCTCTTTCAGGAGTATTGTCGATGGAGGATTTTCGCCCCAAGCATTTACACTCCCCGGAACTCTGCTGTCTCAAATCAACTGAGAAATTCTTAGCATCCTCTATATAGATCTGATATAGTTCCATGCAAAAATCAATTGTTTGGTCACCTGAAGAAATGCTACCATGTTTCTTATACAGTGAAAAAAAGCCTTGCTTAGGAATTTGCAGTGAGATTTTAGAAAGGGTATTGAATAATTTAATGCAATGTACGAATATTTGCTTAGACTACTTAAGGTTTCTTTTCTGAATGACACTGTGTTGCAATTTACTGCTGATATCAATACAAAAACTAACATCTCATGTACTAATTCATTTTTATCTCACTCCGTTTTTTGTTCTTTCAAAATTTTGCTTTATTTCTTACTTTCCTTTTGAGCCTTAAAATAAAATTTTATGAACTTGATTTTCCAATGTTTGTTTTATGTTTATGACATTTAATCTGTGTTTCATTTCTCTTTTTTTTATTGAAAAAAAAATGAAAAATTAAACTGTAACATGACCAAAAAAAATATTGCTTGATAAATGTTTCAAAGTACTGTTACCTACCTCCAATTATTTGTTCGAGAAATTTTTATTGTCCATTGGATGTGTGTGTTTCTTTGAGAGTAGATCTTGTATCCAAAGTGCAGCTGATGCAGATTTAGAGATATCTCTAAAATGACATCTGGTTTCAAAATCTCTAAAATGACATCTGGTTGACAAAGAGTACTTTTTCACTATCTTAAAAATGACAAAAATCAATTTAACATTCTTTATAAAAAGACAGAACAACGTGTATCTTTCATAAAACACAATTTGTTCTCACCACCCATCATAACCATCTCCAAAAGAGCAATTCAAAAATATTTGCAAAGGAATGTTCCGCAGTGTTTAGGAAAAATATCATCAAAAAATTCTTCATTAAAAATAACCTTTTCTATTACAATTTTGAAATTGAGAAGAGTAAATAAATTAGCACACTGTTCTATCTATATTTATAGATGAGTACCATAATAAGCTTGAATTTAAGGATCGTTCACTATTCAAGTTTTACATCTAGGTTTAGGATAGTCTACGATAGATCTTCATCACTTTGCAATTTTTATTTCACTTTTTTATCGAATAAAGATAAAATTTAATTAAAATTTTAAGTTGAGCCATCTACTAATTGCACAAAGTATTAAAAACTTTTAATCTTACTGAAATTGTGATTTTCTGAAAAAAAATAATCAATCAAGATTTTAATAAAGTCCGAGCTTAGAGCTTATTATCAAGCATGAACAGTAAAAAATAACATGATTTAAATTTGCTATTTTAGAAACTTTATTTACTTATTGTTTTTATCATTTTATTAAAAAACAATTGCTGTTTAGAATTCACTGATCACATAATATTCATCAAACAGCTTTTATCACAGCTTTTTAATATTTAATTAATAACATGATCACATAGCTCTTTAATATTTAATTCCAAAGTTATGCTGAAACCTAACTACTGTTTTAGTGTAATATTTATTTCCCCTCAAAAGTACACAAGAATTTTCTAAACTAAAAAATTAATGATTAATCAAGTTAATTTTTTTTTTTTTGCATTAATAGATTTTATGAACAATATAGGTCCTAAAATTTGAAAATTGTGGTTTCAAGATTTTTCAATTATACTTTATCTATCCATTTGAATCTTAAGAACTTGTAAAAATAGGTTACTGATACTGGTTTGTAGAAATTTCTTTCCAACTACAATTTTAAGAATATTACCATGTTTTCTTCTATTAAAAAAATTAACTGTAATGTAAAACAGTTTTCTAAAAAAAAAAAAAAACGAAGAAGGGGATAGATATCTAATAAGGGAAATAAGATGCTGTTTAAATAAAAAGCAAATAAATGAAGTTATGGCTACATCAAACTCAAGGTTAAAATAAAGCTTTCGATAGTTAGTTCTCACGATAATAAAATTAAAAAATATAAACACTGTCTAACAAAGCCTATCAAGAAATTTTCGGTAAACAAAAACTCCTACCTTAGACTATGGCGGTCATAATGAACTTGCTTTTTTGCAACGATTTTATAAAGAGAATGAAGTCCATTCTTTCACTTTTTCTTTCAGAAGTATTGAAATACTTTTTAATATTCTCCTCATATTATCCACCTTGTTAAAAATATTTAGAATGCATCCACATTACTTTCAATCACATCTTCCGAACTATTCTTAGATTCCTTCTAGGGCATTTCGAATAAAATATTTTAAAATAGAGATGATATAAATTATAAATCAATATATTTACTCATTTTCTATACAATAATGAAAGGATACTGCAATCTTAAGCTAAAATATGAAGTAAAATAATTTTTTGAAATAATTTCTCAGAAGAACTCAATTAGACACCAAAAATGATTTTTAGGAACATAAAATATGTGCATAAAATTATTCTTGTGTTAAAAATATTTTCAGAATTAAAAAGAATCGTTATATAAAAATGTAAAATATTTTTTTAGAAAAGTAAAATATTCTTTTTAGAAAAGTAAAATATTCTTTTTAGAAATACTAAAGTGCTTTTGCTTTTAGTTACATTTAATACACGTCAAGGATTGAAAATTGGTCAATTTTTCTACAGAATCGCACTTTTATTTTTGCAGGGCTGATTGTGCTTCGGAAAAAATCGGGATTTCCGGAATTTTCACTAACAGTGATCCCGAAGTTTCTGGAGATCGAAGGTCCAGATGTTTAAAGAAATCATTGATACAGAAGTTTCCGGAAATCAAATTTTCAAAGGTGGAACATAAAAACACAGTTTATTTTATTTGTTTGTAAGGGAGAGCCAAAGAGATATTTTATAAGCTTATATTCATGATTAATATTCATTTTTTATAAGTAAATAGTTGTTATAATCATAAACTCAAGAAAGGAAGACATATTTGTAAATTTTAATTACTTCTCCAGGTCATCATAGGTATGTGTAAAATTTTAAATATATTTTAAGTAAACTAAGAAATATTGAGAAAAAGAAAAAGCATCTTGTTTAAATTTTTTTCTAATTTTTCAATTTAAACTGTTATTTTTATTTTTTTAACTCAAGAAATTTTCCGGAATTTTGACTTGGGCTCACAATCACCCGTTTTTGTAAATGTTGTGACAGTTTTTGTATGCCCATATTACACCAGCTTCACGCCATGTCCTCGAGAAAGAGTTGAATTTGAATTGTACCTGGTAAAAGAATTGAATCACATTTCTCGGAAAAATAGGGGACATAGTCACTGATTCCATGCTATAGGCCATTTAAACTGCTGTGAAATATCTGAGTGAGAGTCGTCGAGGTGAATTCGTACTCTCTTACCATTCCCATTCCGTATTTCACAGAAATTGTTGGAGTTTATTGCGGTCCTAGCATGCATAAGGGTAACTTACTTCGACTCCTTTTCTGTGACAACAGATGAGGACTATCACTTTTTTCATGGATGGTATGTATGACATGGGGATATAAGTATCGCAACTTAACATAAAAAAAACATTGAATGAAGTGGTGATTATATAGAAAATTCGACCTATGTTCTATTTTTGAAATAATGTAAATATTACACACTGAGATGAAAAAAAGTCATGGGATGCCTTTTAGTATCGTGTCTGACAATAACTCGACGTGGCATTTATTCAATAAGTATTCAGAAGTTTCTTGCAGTAGTATTCAGCCCTGAAGCCTTAATAGATGTCCAGGATTACAAAAGAGTAGTGCAAGATTTTCTTTACGAACTGACGTCTCCATTATATTACTCAAATTTTTAATGGAATTTATGTCCGGTGATCTAGGTGACCAATTCACTGGAATTGTTCAGAATGTTCATGAATGACTGCAAGTAGCTGAGCATAACCACCTCCAGTCAATGATTGGACCTAAGGAACCACTCTATACCATGAAAAAGCCCACACCATTATAGAGCCACTACCAGATTACACAGTATTTTGGACCCAATGCTTCGTGGAGTCTGCTCCGCAGTCCTACTCTCCCATCAGCTCCGACCAGTTGAAATCGTTACTCATTTCATCAGGCTACAGTTCTCCAATCGTCAGGGGCCAAACCAATGTGGTCACGATACCAGTAGAGGCAATGGAAGTAACGTCGTGCTGTTAGTAAAATCACGAAATCTGCCTTTTGCTCTCATCCAATTTCAGTAAAATTTGGCACACTGCCCTAACGAAAGCGTCCATTTCACGTCCCGCATTGCAGCTAGCAGTTATTGAACGCAATGTTACTTGTCTATTAACACTGACAATTCTATGCTCACGTCGGTGGTCTCAGTCATTCATTGCCGGCGGTCGCCCACTACATTGTTCTTAGTGGGAGAGAAATTAAGCATTCTCGGCACATTGTAGATCAAGGTATGTTGATTTTCCGAAATGGGATGTCCTATGCGTCTAACTCCAACTTTCATTTCACGTTCAAAGTCTGTTAATTCTGGTTTGGTGGTGAAAACTACGTCAGACACGTCCGTAGATGAATAACTTGAACACTAATAAAAATCTTTGCCAGTGCACTCTCCATATATACATTTTGTACGCGATACCGCTGCTGTCTGTATGTTTGCATGTTGTTATCCTATGACTTTTGTCACCGCAGTGTATAAAATAAACGAATTTATGAATTTCTTAATTCGAAAAAGTTAGGTGTCAATGACCCTTAATAATTTTTTCTTGGTTGCCAAAGACCGTTATGCTTCTTTATAGCAGTTTTAACAGAGGTTTCAATGATATATCCTCATCGATGTCAACCTCACAAAGAGAAAAAATATAAATATAGATTTTAAAAGAAGGAAAAAAGAACAGAACGCATAGCTTTTGGAATTAGCCCAGGGTTATAGAAATTCGTTAGTTAGGTGTCAATATTAGGAGGAAAAGTTAGGCGTCAATGACACCTACTAATAATTTTTTCTAAGTTGATAAAGGTTGTTATGCTTCTTTAAAACAGTTTTAACAGAGACTTCAATGATAAAGACTCATCGATGTTAACCTCAAAAAAAATAATCAATGCCCCGAAAATTAGTTTTAATTATTAGGAATTTTTAAAAAATTTTCTGAAAATTCAATTAGATGATATGAACATTTTGTAATTTACTTAAATGATTCGAATTAAAATTCATTTTCCAGAATCAATCCTTGCAAATATTCCAATTTAGTCTGATTTAAAAAGATAAAATGGAAGATGGTTGCCGTAAAACTGATCTAGAGGCTGAGAGAAATTTTTAGGATAGAGTTAAGAATGAAAACTTCGTCAATCAGGAACTTAGTACGACTTATGAACACTAATTTCGAATTTTTTCGTGAGCTGCTAATGAAGTTTCAAACTAATGCAAGCAGTTTTAATTTTCCCTCATAAATAGTTTTCAAAAGGAGAATCACTTTTACAGTGTTTGTGAGATAGCTTTCAGAAATTCAGATATTAGTTATGTAATAAAAATTTTTAATGTCATTTTAAACATGCTTTAAGGTGGGCAGCATCTCATGAACCAAAAATAAGTATCAGAAAGTCTGCAGCTTAAATTACTACTCAAAATTTTCATTTATAAATTACTTCTGATACTTTTATATTTCTCATTTGGTTCTTTTTGATGCTTCATGTAGTAACAAATAAAAATTTGTTTACATGTTAATGTTTAAATGTATATATTTTATATTAATTTCGTATTAACATTTCAAAATATACCATTGGTTAGGTACATATAAAACTACTTAAAATAATGGACTAGAAAAAGGTAGACGTAAATAAAATAGCTTAGAGAATGCAACATATATCAAATTAGATCAAAATATATCTTAAGAAAGATTTTTGTAAGCATTTTTTTTCTAAAATTTAATACATTTTACCTTTGAAAAATTAGCAATTTTTTAATTAAAGTTTTTACAAAATTTGAAGTATACCACGATATAGGAAACATAGACAAAATTTTATTGCTTTAAAATAGCTAGAGCGAAAGAAAAGTGTACCTAGGTATAGAAAAACTACGCTTTGAAAAAGAAACATATTTAAAGATTATAAAATTAAAGACATGGCTTATTGCATAATATTGTACGTAGATTGTTTTTGAAACACTTTAAATTTATAAAAGCGGTTGAAACAATAAAATTTCTTAGTCAGGAATATTCCAGCTATAAGATGTCAAAACCAAAAAACTTTTTTTTTTGAAGATTTCCTGTTCATTATCCCTTTAAACTTTATTAATAATTTCTGAATAATAGTTCTTTCACGAACATTTTATAAATACAAAATGTTTCCATAATTTGGGAAAAAGTTTTTTTCGTGAGAATATATATTCACATAGTAATAAAATTTGTTTCATTTCTACTTTCTTTAAAATGTTGATATTTTCTATAATATAATCAATTAGACAAAGTTTTACACATCGTAAAACCGGAACTACATCAAGTTACTCGCCATGGAACAACACAGCATTATGAATAGAGCTTGAAATAGGAAACAAGACTCATCAAAAACGTATAAAAATTACACAATTAAAACCTTAAATGTCAAGCGAAGAAACTATATGAGATCCCACAGGCCACTCAGAGTACATGTTGTGAATTGGGTTCTGGAGAAGAGAGTAAATACTATTCCTTATTCATATCTTTTATGTATTATAAATGCCCATTCTAGTGAAATGCCGCATCCTATACTCAGTCTTTCAATTTTACTTTATTTTCACCCCTTTGATTAAATGGATAGTTTTGTGGCAACGCAGTGATTCTCCTGACACTTATTCAGGAGATGGAAATAAAATATATAAATACAACTATGAGTGTGAAGATGATTTGTTTAATGGTGCGCTGTAGTACGAATTAACTTATAGTACGCGGATTAAAGATGCCGCATGCAATAAAGTTTTTGATTAAAAAATATTTCAAGCAAACACCACGGAGTGATTGCTATAAGTATTTTTAAAAGGATTATCATAAGATATGTGTTGATTAGGACATACTTTTATGCAGTTTTTTGCCAGTAAAGGCTTAATTTGATTGATTTTAAAAAGAGAAAATTACGAGTGAGATCACTTTCGTCAATGCAAACCAGTGGATGGTTGATTAAAGGATATTGACCATTCTCAGGAAACAGACACGCAGTTTTGAGGGTTCCTATCTAACACAACACATCTGAAGTTTGATATTCTTCACAATCCTCAACAGCAAAGTCAGCAGTTTAAAATGAGCACTCTGTTTAAATAAAAACATACATTCTGTTAAAAAAAAAACTTCGACGTCTAAGTTTACGAACTAAAATCATAAATAAATATTTCAAAATTAAAGAACTCTAACTTTCTGTATAAGAAATGAAATACTACAAGTTAGGAAATAATATATTTTTAAAGATTTCGATCGAAATTGAAGAAAAAATGAACATTTGAAAATATTATTTGACATAAAAAGCTAATATAAAATAACTAATATAATTTCACTAGTAACTAGAACTTTTCTCGCCCAATGTTTCTACTTATATTTTCCGTTTTTAAACGCAATTTCAAATTTTTATCAACTTAAATTAATTATCGCTAGCTTTACTCAATTTCGGCGTTTTTTTATTATTTTCATGCAATTAAAAGAAAGAAATTTTTTTTAGAAGTTAACTAATTATTTTTAAGAGCAGCTTTTTTCTCTTTTCCGTGAAACTGGTTTTACTGAAAGTATATTTAAAAACAATATACGTTGCCGTATCCATTCGTAAGGTTAATGATTTTGATACTCTGTTTGCCCCATCAGGCCCAGTTCTGTTATTTAGTTTCTCTGTAGAAAGAAAATTTAAGGATTGTGTTTTCGATCTCAATTTATATCAAACTGCATAAGAAATGATTTATTTAACAAAACTGAAATCTTTCCAACACTTAAAGTAATACTAATTAAAAGTGTAAATAATTAATTCAAAACGAATTGTATCCTTTTGTGATACGTTTCCCCGATGGCAGGCACTGAACTCATATGTTCTTCGTGATGAAAATAAAAATATCGTAACTTGGTTAATAACCTTCGTAAATAAAAATTTAAAATTGAGTTTAAAATTTTCGAAAATCAAATAATTTCGCAGAACCTCTGCCTGGGAGACCTCTGTAGAACGCTATGTTACAGCAGAACCGATTTTGGAAATCCCTGTTGTAACAAATTTTCCTTTACTCTTTTCCACCTTTAATTTGCGCAACTACTTTAAGAAAAAAAAAACTTGCATGCTTACCGATTCAATATTGATCCATTCATGACTGACAGCTCTAGGTTTGCACCAATTTTTAAACACCTTCATTTTGTGTAGGATCATATTTTTAGATTTTTTTTTTACTTTTATGTAGTGCATAATATATCACTAGGATTTTTTAAAAATTTTTTGTTACTATTTCATTAAATATTTTGTTATAAATCTTTTTTATTCTTTGTTTTTTTAGAAAAATTCAATGAAATGTTTTAAACATTTTCTTTTTTTAATTTCATTATTATTCTTTTATCTTATTTTTTTTTATCTGATTAACTTCTTCAGCAGATCTCCCCAGAAGCTTAACGTTCATCAGCTCGAAGGTGTTCGTATCTTGTTTCTAAACAGCCAGCACTTTCTCTACAGGGTTCTATCCGCTGCTTTTCATTGAATACTTTTTTCATCGTTTATCCGAGGACGTGACGCATGAAATTAAGTAATATATTTGTAAGTAACATAATACATAAAAATATTTTTATTTTATAAGGATAAACCTTTTTCTTAAAATCAATTCGTAAGTTTATTTATAAAAAGCACCTCAAAATGAGTAGATATAATGTGAGCAGGATATAAACTAGTCGCCAACTACTGAACGTGTATTTGTGTTAGGTAATTTTTTTTCGTCATTCTTTAAATCTACAAGGTTTGGAAATTGATAAAAAAAGCAAAGTTTGCGCATTAAAATGAGAATCAATTAATACCTTAAACGTTATGGATTTAGCAAACTCATTCATTCACTATCAATTATTCAGACAGTTACAATGTAACACAGTTCTATACCTTACATTCATAACTGTTCCAAAATTCAAATGCAGTATTGCCAATGCTTAAATACATCTATAGCATAAAAAATAATTTGTTTACTCCACTTTTTAACCTATAACCTCTCAGCCACTGAGATCTGAAGATATTTGTGATCAAAGTGTTGCCCAGGGAACGCCATACGAGGAGGCGAGGTTATTTTACTTTGACTGCTAAAACACCAAATATATAACAACTACAATAATAATAACACTATACTGTGCTAAAGAGAAGGTTCCCATCATCCCCATCAGTTGTGCTAATTTTTTAAAGAACTATTGGAAAATGTTAAGCTCCCTCATGGCTTACAGAAAATATCTGTGCAGACTATTATCAAGAAAGTCTTATGGACTTGTTGAACAAATAATGAAATTGTAAGATTTTTTTAAACATTTATATTAAATATTCTCGTTAAAAGGTGTTTTATGTATATGTTTAGTGTGTTGGCAGTCAAAATAGTTCCCCAAGGGGATCGTCAAACATTTTCTTTTTTCATTCCAGGTGTTGGCTTCATGACAACCCCCCGAGGAGTGGCGACTAAACATCTCACGAAAACACCTTCCCCTCTTAGAGTATATCTCAGAATTCTCCACAAAGCAAAGAAAGATATTTTAACAATACACAATGCATCATAATCTTTAAACAACGATTTTGATATCCAAAGCCAAGAAAATAAAACCTTTTATGCCAATATTAACTATAAAATCCTAATATCTAATAAGCCAAAACACAATGGATATAAATTTTGCTTGAATACTACGATAAATATAAAGAGGAAATAATAATAAAAGTAACTACATATCAGTAATATTGTAACAAGAATTTTGAAATAACCAAAAGGCAGCCAAGTGATATCTTTCAAGTGGAAGAACCTGAACTCCGAAAGGATTAATGCTCACGTGAGAACAAACTTATCCACTCCTCTTCACAATCTAGTTAAAAGTGGATGAATCTTACAGTAGTAATTTTTTCCTTTTCTTTTTTAATTCATCAATATTTAAACTTTAAAAGTTAAATTAAAACTTCAGATTGTCGTGTCGATTAATGTTGGGTGTCTTTACGGATCCCAATCCTTTTGTGTCGATTAACGTTGGGTGTCTTTACGGATCCCTAGCCTTTTGTGTCGATTAGCGTTGGGTGTCTTTACGGATCCCGAGCCTTTTGTGTCGATTAACGTTGGGTGTCTTTACGGATCCCGAGCCTTTTGTGTCGATTAATGTTGGGTGTCTTTACGGATCCCAAGCCTTTTGTGTCGATTAATGTTGGGTGTCTTTACGGATCCCAAGCCTTTTGTGAGACTTTGATATTAATTAGGCAGTTATGAGATGCTTGATAATTTGAACATTAAATTATTAAATCATGCTTATTAATTTTTGGTTTATTTAAAAGTCTCAAACCTACATTTTTGTTATATTTCAGTAACGTAAATTAGTTTTTAAGCACAAGCCATGCAATGAAAATTCAGTATGTTTTGAGGCTTAATAATGCGAAAAGTATTTGTAAGTTCTAATTCCTTTTATTTTTGTCTCATATTTTAAACTATAAATTTTTCAATGTACTTACGAAACCTCTAATGGAAAAAATTTGGTTTTTCATCAGGAAACGACAAACTCGTTTCGAACTGACGTTATAGTTTATGGAGCAAACTTTTAGCTGAGTTAAGTGTAACGTGGGGAAATTAAGAGTGAATACACTTTAAATAGTTTGAAAATTACGTTTAATGTGACCCAGTCAGTACGATTACAGATCTGTGCTAGCCTCATCACTATTTAAATATCGGCTAATAAAAATTATTTCAACTTATATAATGAAGTAGACACACGCAGTTTATTGAGATAAAACCAACACGAAATAAAGGACTGTATCTAATGTTTAAAAAAAATTCGCTGCAGATTAACTGTAAAGGGAAACTACAAACATAAAAAAGATATATTTTAGTTGTGTAACCAAAGTTACCATCATTAAGAGTAAGTTAATTGTGTAAAAAGAGAAAGTAAAAATATAACTCATTTTCCTTAACCGACGAAACATCCTCTCATATTCTTATGGTGAAAAAAAAAAAACTGAAACTGAGACGGAGAGCAAAATTTTAAAATTTAGGGGGAATTTTTATTTTCAAAATTTGACCTTTCTTCATTATTTGCTGAGCTTTATTAAAAAAAAAGGAATCAATTTATTTTAAAGTTTGTCGATTTTTATCGTATAGAATTTTGATGCTTAAAGTAGTTAGTGTGTTTTTAAATATAGTTAGAAATTGGGATAATTTAGAACGGGTAAGTATAATTTCGGTTTATTACATTTGAATCGGTATGTGTAACCTCGGAAATTGCTTTTGAACCAATAAGCAGTAACCATCAAACAATCTTATTCAAAAAGCATAACTTGTCAGCTGTTTTATTTATATTTACAATGTTGCTGTGGAATTTTATATACAGAGCTGATATTTTGCAAGTACTGTAATTCTTTTTTTTTTTTTTTTAATGCAAGTATTATTTATACACTAAAACTTCTGATAACGTGCCAAATAATACTTATGAAGTTTAAAATCTGGCATGAATTTGAGGCTCAAGCACTATCAATGCAATTTTTTGTAAAACTAATAAATGACGATAGTTTTCAAATACGTGAACCAGAGTTTTTAAATTTATAATATTGGAATACGAATCATCACATAAAGATCTAAACATATGAGATTAAAAAATTGCATGCGCAGGAATAGAAACGCTGTTTTTCATCTCTAATCTAACGTGATAAGAAAACAGTCACTTAATAACACGTATAACTTGAATTTGCGTAATAATCTCGTTATATAGCGTTTGAAGCGTAAAATCTCAAATGGGTGGATTCGAAATGCGACGCTTGCTTTAGTTTCTGAGACCTTTTACGTATTTATAAGCGTGTTAGGTGTGTTGTTTTCATCAAGATATGGGTGAGAGAAATTCGTTTGATAATTAATGTCGCATGAAAGCAACACTGATGGAGCATTGGCGATGGTCTGAGATTCATTCTTGGCGATGATCCGATGACAATATTGGCGCAAGTACTTAAAATAGAATTTTAAAAAAAGTGTCCTACAAATGGATAACTTTCTTTTAAAATAGAATAGTTGCTGAGTGGTAGTCTCTCTTTCGAAAATGAATTGTACTCGAAAATTCCGATTATTTGAAGTAATCGAGGTTCACTGAAACCAAATTGAAAATGTAGTTACAGTTGAACAGTTTTCCAAATATTACAGAGCGTTTGAAAATATTTTTCATATAGAGGACACTGCTCGTTAAGAATGAGAAAAATCCTGGAGATTTTTAATATTAGTTTTTCAGATGTTGAAAGCGTTTAAACGTTACTTTTTAACTCATTAACGTTTAAAACATGAATACGTTAATTCGAAAATGCCACGATTATAGTTTGCTTTGCTTTCTGAGACCTTTAAGTCAGTCTTATGAGCTTTCAAATAAAAGTTTTTTATTTTTATTTTAATGCATAATAAGATTTTAAATATTTATTTATTAATTGTATTTATCATTGACAAAATTTTTAAACCTATTGGAATAATAGTTTTTTGAGCAGAAAATTGTCCATTTCTATTGAAAATACGCATAAATATAGTATTTAAATAAAAATGTAAGAAAAAAAACTAAATTTTCATCGCAAGTAAAAGTTCAACATTAAACAATTAAAAAATCCGTTTTTTATGACTTTAAATTACATGACTTTAAAAACCTAGTTATATTAGTAATTTTTTCAGTTATTTTTTACAGCTTAAATAAATATATTTGGTACCCAAATTTCTGTTTATGTTTTGTGAAAAAGCTGTCAGCGTTTTGTAAAAGATAATAATTATTAAAAATGAACGAAAAGAATTTTACTTTCTAGTTTTGAACGTCTGTTCTCCCCTTAAACATTTACATTAGTGTTCGCATTATTTTATCACGCTGAATTATTTTAGTTTACTTTTTTAATTTATATGTTAATAAAATAACGATTGATAAAAAAGGTTGGTACTTTTCCGTTATACCGGCGCAGGCGATAAAGGCGCCAATAATGATGCAACCAATGTCAAACTGTATATCGCCGCTAGTAACTTTTGTCTCCACATTTTCAAAGCAAGTCGCGGCCATTTTTTTTTATCGGTCACGTCTTTTTCTTAATACCAAAAATTAACGCAAAAAGCGGTGAAAATTTGGGATTCGCCCAAAACTTTGAGGACGAAGCTGTCAGATTCTTTCAAGAGAAAGACGTTTTGGCTGAAATCGCAACTCGTGATAAGTGTCATGAAATGAAATTGTTCATCGGAGACGAAATTCAATGGCGTTGCAACCTTTCATCTTGTCGCTGCAATAGAAGTATACGTAAAGGCATATGATTTCAGTCATCGAAAATGAGCTTTTTGAAGTGTGTGCGGTTTATTTATTGTTGCAGCGAAGAATTAACTTCAAGGTGTGAAAAGTAGTTGGGAATCAGTCACGGAATAGTTGTAGACTGGAATAATTTCATGCTTGAGGTTTGTGTGAATTCTTTTGCTTAAACGTGAACAACGGAAAGTAGGAGGATCTGACATGATCGTCGAAGTGGACGGAAGTTTGTTTACTAAGCGGAAAAACAATGCGGGATGGATTCTATCACAACAATAGATCTTCCGTGGAGTTTGTCGGGAAGTGAATGAATCTTTCCTTGTGGAGGTGCCAAACCGATATTCTAACACTTTCAAGGCAATTAAGGAAAATACCGAAAAAGAAACTATAATATATTCCGGTTCATGGAAATCATACTGCACTAGTAAGCTGGAAGATGAAAGTTTCGAACATTTCGAAGTGAGCCATAAATACAACTTTGTCGATCCGGAAACTGTAACGCACATGCAAAAAATAGAGAGAATGGGGGGGGGGTGCAGATCAAAATCGCGAAATAAGAAACACCACAGAGGAACGGTACGCCGAAAGTTAGCTTGCGGAATTTATGTGGAGAAGGCAAATGGAAGCCCCATTTGAAAATTTTCTTAAGCGATATTAAAATATTTATGCCTCCGAAGTAAAAAAAAAATTTGAACCATTTATTAACTGTTTTTTTTTATATGCATGCTGTGTGTTGTAGTCAATAATGTCTGCTTCGTGTGATTTGTTTCAGCGACTATGTGTAGTCTCCAAAAGTCTGCTTGGCGAGATTTGCGCCGGTATAATGGAAAAGTACCAAAACGAAAGACAGGGACTTTTTTTGCTGGTCGGATCAATTCAGGGCGTCCTTGAGAAGGAAAAAAAATCCACTATTTTGAACTTAGTATCAATTAGTTACATTATATAAAACGGTTAGTAAATGAAAATTAAAAGATTGCAATTGGCGATCTGTCGAGTCTATACTCTGAATGATATATACTTAGAAGAGAGAGAAAAAGAATCAAAAGAATGTGGTTGACTCGATCACGTTTTAGAATATAGGGTTAATAATCATTTATGAAACTTGCTTTTTATCGAGGAGTGAAATACACCCCTTTAAAATAAAAGTGACATAACGTAAGAAAAATATATTTCCTGTAAAGTCTTCTGAATATTACTGAATTATTTGCTCTTTATTATAATAAATAAATGCAATTAAATATTTAGTTACTGACGAAATAGTTATTGAATATATGGGTACTGAATATGTAGGTACTGAAGGTATAATTACTGAATGTATAGTTATTGAATGTATAGTTACCGAATGTATAGTTACCGAATGTATAGTTACTGAATGTGTAGTCACTGAATATATAGTTACTGAATGTATAGTTACTGAATGTATAGTTACTGAATGTATAGTTACTGAATGTATAATTATTGAACGTATAGTTACTGAATGTATAGTTACTGAATGTATAGTTACTGAATGTATAATTACTGAATGTATAGTTACTGAATGTATAATTACTGAATGTATGATTACTGAATGTATAGTTACTAAATTTATAGATAAGTACTGAATTTACAGTTACTAAATTTATAGTTTTTGAAAAAATTGCTCCTTATAATTGTAATAGCGTTGATAATTAATTTTGTAGATTTAGATATGATAATATTGGATGTGTGTCTTTCAAAAATACTCTCATGCTTGAAATTATTTAGAGAGGTAATGNTTCAACGTAGAAACCTTTCTCCCAATAATCGATACCTTGAGTGTTCATCTAAAACAGCGACAAAGTTCATATGAGATCGTCAGTCAACGTTTTAGTTTATTTTTTCACTTAAAAACTCTGAATTCCGAAGAGATACGACAAGGATGCAAAGAATTTTCTCAAATCTATCACGAAGATGTAAATGAAAAAGAGTTAGAAATAGAATGTCAACATTTAAAAGAATACTTAATAAATGTTCAGAGTGAAAATGAAGCATCTAACAGTGTACAGGAAGTATATAATCTATTAAAGCAAAACAAAATTGAAGACACATTTCCTAACGTAGAAATTGCATTGAGAATATTTTTAAGCATGATGGTAACTAACTGCAGCGGAGAACGCTCCTTCTCCAAATTGAAACGAATAAAAAATGAATTAAGAAGTACAATGCTTCAAGAGAGATTAAATAGTTTGTCGCTGATGTCCATAGAATGTGATATTCTCAATACCATAGATTTTGAAGAAGTGATTAACGATTTTGCTCATCTTAAATCTAGAAGGGTACCTTTGCAATCAACATAGAATTAATCTAAGGATTTTAAGTTAAGCGAGTTACTTTTGTAGATTATTTTTTATATTTCCTATTTTTTTATAGCTAGTAACTAAATAAAAATAAATTTAGAACCTTGTTTGTCTTTCTTTATCTATTGTAACTAAATAGTGTTTTCTCAAGGTCATAGGGGCCCCATGATCCTAATGTGCCCAGGGCCTCAAATAGTTTAAAGACGGCCCTGGTTGCAGCAAAGAATTAACTTCAATTAAATGGTGTGAAAAGTAGTTGGGAATCAGTCACGGAATAGTTGTAGACTGGAATAATTTCATGCTTGAGGTTTGTGTGAATTCTTTGCTTAAACGTGAACAACGGAAAGTAGGAGGACCTGGCACGATCGTCGAAGTGGACGGAAGTTTGCTTACTAAGCGGAAAAACAATGCGGGATGGATTCTATCACAACAATAGATCTTCCGTGGAGTTTGCCGGGAAACGAATGAATCTTTCCTTGTGGAGGTGCCAAACCGATATTCTAACACTTTCAAGGAAATTAAGGAAAATACCGAAAAAGAAACTATAATATATTCCGGTTCATGGAAATCATACTGCACTAGTAAGCTGGAAGATGAAAGTTTCGAACATTTCGAAGTGAGCCATAAATACAACTTTGTCGATTCGGAAACTGGAACGCACATGCAAAAAAATAGAGAGAATGGGGTGTGCAGATCAAAATGGCGAAATAAGAAACATCACAGAGGAACGGTACGCCGAAAGTTATCTTGCGGAATTTATGTGGAGAAGGCAAATGGAAGCCCCATTTGAAAATTTTCTTAAGCGATATTAAAATATTTATGGCTCCGAAGTAAAAAACAAATTTGAACCATTTATGAACTGTTTTTTTTATATGCATGCTGTGTGTTATAGTCAATAATGTCTACTTTGTGTGATTTGCTTCAGCGACTATGTGTAGTCTCCTATGTGTCTATGTGCAGTATTATGTCTATGTGTAGCGACTGTGTGTAGTATTCAGCGACTATGTGTCTATGTGTGTAGTATAGTTATAGTCTGCTTGGCGAGATTTGCGCCGGTATAATGGAAAAGTACCAAAACAAAAAACAGGGACTTTTTTTTTATAGGTGGGATCATTTTTGCTGGTCGGATCAATTCAGGGCGTCCTTGAGAAGGAAAAAAAAATCCCCTATTTTGAACTCAGTATCAATTAGTTACATTATATAAAACGGTTATTAAATGAAAATTAAAAGATTGCAATTTGCGATCTGTCGAGTCTACTCTGAATGATAGTATATAGAAGAGAGAGAAAAGGAATCAAAAGAATGTGGTTGACTCGATCACGTTTTAGAATATAGGGTTAATAATCATTTATAAAACTTGCATTTTATCGAGGCGTGAAATACTTAAAATAAAATCAACATAGCGTAAGAAAAATATATTTCCAGTAAAGTCTTTTGAATATTACTGAATTATTTGCTCTTTATTATAATAAATAAATACAATTAAATATTTAGTTACTGACGAAATAGTTATTGAATATATGATGGGTACTGAATATATAGGTACTGAATGTATAATTACTGAATGTATAATTACTGAATGTTTAGTTGCCGAATGTATAGTTACCGAATGTTTAGTTACTGAATGTATAGTTACTGAATGTATAATTATTGAATGTATAGTTACTGAATGTATAATTACTGAATGTATGATTACTGAACGTATAATTACTGAATGCATGATTACTGAATGTATAGTTACTAAATTTATAGATAAGTACTGAATTTATAGTTTTTGAAAAATTGCTCCTTATAATTGTAATATGATTAGCGTTGATAATTATTTTTGTAGATTTAGATATGATAATATTGGATGTGTGTCTTTCAAAAATACTCTCATGCTTGAAATTTAGAGAGGTAATGAATCATTCCCAATTACCTGATCCTTCCTGACGTTCTCGAAGGAGTGACGTCGAAGGGGTGGAGCTGTCGGATTGAACCTGTCTTTCCTGGTGAAAGGAACCAACTTGTGGTCCATTGGGTGGGTCTGCGATCTCTCCAGATCATGCTGAAGACAAAAATTAAAACTACTTTGAGTTAAGTAAATCACACCTAATGCAGTTTTCAAATATTCAATAAACATTTAAAGGCTCAGGGGATAGAGGCACATAAAAAGGTGACCCATGTAGATTTGTACATTGCTCTTGGCTGGAATATCCTGAGTTATCACTCTTTAGAATCTTTAGTTAGACTGTCTTCGCTGTCGGGCTTAAGGTGTGAGGTCTTCGCTTTTTAACTTTCTATGTTATGCTAATGATCCGCCAAAAAGACCTCCACAAAAGCAGGCATACCACAAAAAAGCAGAGATGGCTCAGGGGATAGAGCTTTTCAATTTAGTGCACCGGGTTCAAATCCCAGCAATGGCTGGTGGATACGAATTCCGCATGTGGCCTTTACCGACCACAGTTCTGGCGTAAAATATATTCTGTAATTGATGGATCATAAATTAGAGTTCACATGTCACATCAGGTTGGCCACGGGGATTTCGTGGTTTCCCTCAATATGTAAAGCAAATGTGGGTTGGTTCCATCAAAAAGCTCTAAACGAAGGCAAATTTCTCTTAATTCTAGATAAGAGAGTTGTTTTCTGGATTGGGTTCAAAATTACAAGGCTACGGAGTTGAACATTACTGGTCGTAAGCCCAAAAAATTGAGTCGGCTGTTTAACGACGGTTATAACATAAAATATAAAATGCTTGATTTAAGAGTTTATCTTCTGGGTTCAAAAATATGTAGTTATGGAGATCAACAGTGCTGCCTATCAGACATGGATTGGCTCCTCAACGCGCCGGTGTCAAAATAAAGTAATAACTAAAGCGTCAAATAATTATTGGAATAAAAGGGAGAATAAAATATTTATCTCTTTTACTGATTAGCCTTTACAAATTTAACACTTTGCTGACCTATTCATCGACTTTTTGTAACCGAAGCTTATAAACCGATAGTCGTTTAATAAATAAATGTCATTTAACCGTAAAGTAATTAAAAATAGTTTTTCTTTCTTAAATAAAGCCTGTATTAATAGAAAAAAGTGGCAATTATGTGAGCATGAGAAAAGCGCTGATGCATTTCTATAACCACCTAAACCGAAACATAGCCAGAGCCAAGGAGGATCTGCTGCCAGTAGGACGTGCGTATGCTGTTCAAACGCTCTCGGTCGGAACAATGTTATAGAAAGCTAAAAATATTTAATAATATAATAAGAGGTAGTGTAACATTATTTGTTTGCTTTCTGTAACATAATCTTATTAGCTGTGCCAACATATAGCTTTTAATAAAAACATTGGAGTAAAATCGATTAAACAAATTATCGCGTCAACAATTCTTACGTTTTTAATTTAATTTTCACGAACTGATGATTGGTAACTACTCTAATCGACAATATTTTTCGAATCATATAGAATAGATCATCGATAATTATTTGTTATTTTATTTATTGCCATTCCAAAACCGAAGGTAATTTAATATTATATGTTTAAAGATTTTTTTAGAAATTATTTTCAGTGTAGCCTTTAGGTTGAAACAAAAAAAAAAAAAAATGCATAAAATTAAAAAAAAAAAACTTTTTTTTCAGATTGGTTTTTGGTTAAAATTAAAAAAGATTATTTTAAAAATATTTTCAGATGGGAAGATGAGCTGCATTAAAATACGAATTCATAATTACTAATTGCATGGTATTTTTTACTTTAAAATGCCAAGATAAGCATAAAAAATTTTAAAAGTCAGTATCAATCAATTTTTTCTTTTAAAAAAAAATTCCAAAATAGTTGCAAACATTATATTTTGCCTATCGCAACAAGATAAAGAAATCCATTATTTTACCATTAAAAACGCATATAATTGATGAAAGTCGTGAGATCGTAAGTGAAAGACATAAACAACCTGATAGTTTAAACATCTTTTTTGAACTCACCTCGTAAAGCTGATGGAAGACTTCTTTCCAGACCATCAGCAGAGCTCGTTCCAAATGTACTTCCTTGCTCACCGGCAACACAGCATTGCGCAAAACTGATGGTTCGCATAAAGCTGTTGGTTCGCCCAGAACTGAAGCTTCACAGAGAGCTGGAGGTTCGCGCAGAACTGGTGATTCACACGAAAGCGGAGGATCGCAGGGAGTTGGAGGTTCCCATGGAACTGGAGATTCGCATGGAACTGGAGATTCGCATGGAACTGGAGATTCGCATGAAACTGCACCTTCCCAAGGACCAGAAACTTCACACGGAACTGAAGATTTGCACGGAACTGATGCTTGGCCCAGAACTGGAGGTTCTGAGTTGGGCGGTTTATTAACCAAGTGGCAGTCCTGATAAGGAAGCTTCCAGGTGAACAGCTCCTGATCCACGTCATCAGTTACCTCGAGAAGGTTAATAGTCTCCTTTGGATCCACTCTCCTACCCCGTGATCCCTTCACACGTCGACTGAAAAGAGAAGAAAGCATTTTTTTAGAACTGAGGCCGAAAAACATTTTGGACTAGAACTAAAACGAGGAGAACTAAATATGAATAACAATTAATCCTTCCTATATTATACCTACTTTAACTTTTAAATACATCATTAAAATATAGTTGCAAAAAAGAATAAAGAGCATCCACAAAGTAAAGGGATCGACAAATCTGAAATTGGTTCTGATTCATCATTACCTTTGAAAAAATGAATGAAAAATGGAAGATCAGGCCTCAGATTATGTCATAGCCCAGCCATCATATCTTAGAATAATATCATCGTAATATATATTCACATCCTCAGCAATTCTCATTTTGAAAATTTAATCCCTATTACATAAAGAGTAGGTCAGCCATCTTGGATATCCATCTACAATTGGGAAGGAGTGTTGGGATGGTATGCATATGCTCACATTGATAATCTCAAAAAGTTTGCCCTAATACCTCAGACATTAAAAAAATCATGAAATATCAATGATTTGAATTAGTTAACTTAAAAGAAACAAAAATTTTAAAAGTGAACAATTTCGAAACCCTTTAACTGAGGAAAGAACCATGAATTATCAATAATTTGAATTTAGTTATCTTAAAGGAAAAAATGAGAATCAAATATTGAAATAAAGACAGAACTAGTTGTTTACAAAGCTATTGTTAGAGCGGTACTATTATATGGCGCAGAAACCTGGAAACAGACTAAGATCGAAATACAAAAATTAGAAACCTTTCAAAACAAATGTTTAAGATTTATTTTTAAAATTTTCTGGCCTTACAAAGTATCAAATCAAAATCTATTAAAGAAAGCTAAAATAAAAACAATCGAAGATGAAATTAAAAAACGAAGATGGAGCTGGCTCGGACATATCCTTAGAATGCCCAAAGAAAAAATTACATCTGTTGCGCTTACATGGGCCCCTGATGGTAAAAGAACAAGAGGAAGACCCAGACTTACCATCCAGCGCATTTTTTTGGGCGAATTAAAAGAATGCAGAATATCTGGCTGGGAGGAAGCAAGATCTATTGCTAGAGACAGGAGGCGTTGGAGGGATATGCTAGAGGCCTTAAGTGCCCAAAGGCCCGTAGAGGATAAGTAAGTAAAAGAAAAAAGAAAAATTTTAAAAAACGAATAATTTTGAAAACATTTAACTGAGGAAAGAACTTTTCAGTTGACCGGGTGCAAAGAAATTAAACTATTCTTTCTTTTTTAAACTTTGTTTGATTTTTTTTTATTCCGCTTACTTATTTCGCTATTAAAATATAAATTAAATAAAAAATATATAAGTTATCGGAGTTCTACATTTTTTGCCGGTTTAACATTTTATTCCGGCAAGGCAAATTTTCACAATTTCTTTTCAAGTGTGAAGTCTTTAGAGATATTGTAACTGCATCCTTATTTCGTCAACTTCAAAAATCGGATGATGACAATAAAATCAAAATAAAAATATAAAAGCCATAAATAAAAATATAAAAAATATTTCGTGAGTTGAATGTATTTTTATTATTATCCTGAATGATAAGATTCTTGTTACCCTATTAAGATTGTCATTTAACAAAACGATTCTTGTTACCATATATAACAAAAAAGGTATTTTTCCATTTCGCTGGCAATAGAGAAAAAGTTCAATGACAAAAAGTCCAATGAAAATCACCAAATTAATGTAAATTCAAGTTTTTTTAAATTTTTTTGTGATGTCTATTAAAAAAACTGAATTTACTTGCTTCGACGAAATGATTAAGTACCAACAAAAATGACAAAACTCGCAAACAAAAGCAATACATTTCAATACATTAGCAATTCTCACAAAAAATCTCATTCTATAGCAATAATTAATTTATATTTTGAATTTTATATTTAACATTTTAAACCGTTTCATGAAAGTTTCTCACTATTTAAATTTTCGTCTATCAAAAGTTTTTATTATCGAAAAATATAGAAAAAATATATTTAAATATCGAAATTTTAAATAAAGCTCTGATTTACACTTACACAATCTTTGAGATCCACGTCAGCATTTTATTTGATTTGAATCAAAGATGAGATGTTTAAAAATATTTAAAAAAAATTTAAATTTCGAAAAAGCTTTCACTTCTTAAATATCAAAGCAAACATTAAAAAATTTATAGAACACAGAGTTGAGTTGTCAGCGGCTTCTTTAAAATGACGTCATAGTAGTTATTTTTCCATCTATTTGGTATTTGCTGGTTATTGCTGATGTGAGCCAGTTTAAAATGATTTAATATTTAAACATATTTATACGACTTTGTTTATTGGTATAGGGTAGAAGAGTTTAGTATGTTTGAAAATAAAACAGGGCATTTTTCGATAATATTCATTATTATTATTTGCATTCATTTTGTGACAAAATGTGAAAATGAATCTTAATAAAATTCGAAATAACTGCAATGACTAAAATAAAATTTTATGAACAAAATTTTTTAAGTGGAATAAAAAGGGTAAAATATTTTATTTTTGTCTGACCAAAAAGGCGTCACTTTCGGAATTTCGGGAGGATTTTAGCTAGTTATAGAAATTTATTAAGAAAATAACACGAAATGTTACACGTTCTGCTTTTAGTCTTACAAAAGTAGAATTACTCTACAATCAGGTAAGTAAACTCTTTGTTAATGGAAATCAGTCTTTTATTGACTTCAGTCTCTATCCTTGTTTTGTGTTTGCAACGGAGACAGTATTTGCAGGGAATTAAACTTCCGGTAGAAGATTCACTTGCATTGACTTATAATTTTTTTCTGTTTTATTCGTTTTCGATTACAAAAAATTCGTTTGCCAGTAGCGGCACTCGTTCTGCTTTTTGGGTGCAATGTACGTTGTAGTTCTAATTTGTTCTCTGAAATTATGAAATTCCGTAAGGACCCCTCACGTCGAATTGTATGAAAGTGGGAAGACTGGAAAAAAATAGTCACATTCTACTATGACGTTCATCAAGACTGTTTTCTTTTCAGGATAGGTGAACTGTCACGAAACTTCCAAGAACGGAAACATTTGTATATAAGATAACAATTATATTTCTTTGTTTATCAGAATCAAGACCACTGGATATTTGAATCAGACAAAGGATAGCATACATTTAAATTTATTGAAAATGAAATAGAGTCTTTGAAGGGACAGAAGTGTCCAATGGAAATTGTTTCGCATCAGTTTTCTGAAAAGTTGTCCGTGTTGACCGAAAGTTAAATTAAAATAAGACAAAAAGAAATACCCACTTCTTTTTCTCTTATTTTAATTTAAGTGACTAGATCAAAACAAATATCAGGCTTTAGAAAACCTTAATTTTCCTTTACAAACATTTTGAAATTAACCTGCTGATAAGCAGTCTTAACAATAAAAAAAATGTGAAAAAAAATCCCGCTGACTTGCATCCCAATTGTTTTTTCATCTAATATTTTCTTATTGAAAAGAAACAACGCTAAAATTATTGAAAGCATGTACATAAACGTTATTATTTTTCACTTGAAGTTTACATATAATCCCCGGAGCAAAATCATCCGTAGTAAAGTCAGCATTCATAAATTCAAATTTGTTGGTGACCTGAACGCAGACAGAGTTTTTTATTGTGAATTCTGCTTAATCAATTGAGAAATTAATTAATTGGGAAGATCAGGCCTCAGATTATATCATAGGCCAGCCATTCACAATCTTGGAATAATATCATCGTAATATATATTCACATACTCAGCAATTTAGTGCTATGCATCATCATGTGATACCTTTGAGAAAATAACTGAGAAATGGAAGATCAGGCCTCAGATTATGTCATAGCCCAGTCATCATATCTTATTAAAAAATATAAGTAGTCGGAGTTTTGCATTTTCTGGTGACTTTTCACTTTATTGCGGTGTACCAAATTTTTACAATTTCTTTTCAAGAGTGAGGTTTTCAGAGGTATTGTAACTGCATCCTTATTTCATCAACCTCGAAAATTGGAGGCATGATGACATCCATTTAGATCATAAATAAAAATACTATAAACTTTGAATATTTCGTGAGTTGAATGTATTTTTATTATTATACGGAAGGATAAGATTCTTGTTACCCTATAAAGATTGCCATTTAGCAAAACTATTATTGTTACCATACAACTAAAAAGGTATTTTTTTCCATTGACAATGAAAGTCACCTAATTAATGCAACTTCAATTTATTATTATTTTCTGATAGTTTCTGTTAAAAAAAAAAACTAAATTTACTTGCATCGGCGAAATGGTTAAGTACCAACCAAAATGGTAAAAATCACTAAAAAATGCAATAAATTTTCTTACAAAGAACTTTTTTTGTAGCAATAATTAATTTATATTTTAAATTTTATATTTAATGTTTTAAATTGTTTCATAAAAGTTTCTCAGTATTTAAATTTTTCCTATATCAAAAGTTTCTATTTTCGAGCAAGAAAGAAAAAAATACATTTAGATATAGAAATTTTAAATAAAGTTTTGAATTACACTTACACAATCCTTGAGATCCACTTCAGCATTTTATTTGATTTGAATCAAAGATTAGATGTTTAAAAATATCAAATAAATTTAAGGTTTGAAAAAGCTTTCACTTCTCAAATATCAAAATACACATTAAAAAAATTGATCGAACACAGAGTTGAGTTGTCAGCGGCTTCTTTAAAATGACGTCATAGTTATCATTTTTTAAAATTAAGTTGGTATTTGTTTGTAATGACTGCTGCTAGCCAGTTTAAAATGATTTAATATTTAAACATATTTTATTCTGGTCCCTTACTTGTATTTGATTTCCTGAAGATCTACGAGCTCATTGACTTGGTCTAGCCTGCGGCTGATCAAGAGGAATCAGTCAACAACAACAATATTTTATACATTGATACGACTTTTGTTTATTGGTAGTGGATAGAAAAGTTAAGTATGTTTAAAAATCAGGGTATTTTTTAGATAATATTCATTATTATTTTTTGCATTCATTTCAGAAACAAAATTAATTAATTAATCACAGCAATTGGGTATAATATAAAAAAACACAACTACTTCCACTTAGTAGGAATAAC